GCAGGGCTCAAGGGAAGGGGGGCTGAGGGGAGCAGCAGTGGGGAGGGCTCAGGGGAGTAGGGGCAGGGCTCAGGGGAGCAGGCCCAGGCCCCGCATGGGGGCTGCAGCAAGAAATAGCCTCGCCTCCTGGTGCTGCAAAAAGTCAGCGGGGACGCAGGGGACTCTAGAGTTTCTCCACGGAGATGAGGGAAGCAGGGGTGGCACCAGGGGACAGGGTGGCACCAGGTGATGGGGGTGGCGCTGGATGATGGGGGTGGCACCAGAGGACAGGGTGGCACCAGGTGATGGGGGTGGCGCTGGATGATGGGGGTGGCACCAGAGGACAGGGTGGCACCAGGTGATGGGGGTGGCGCTGGATGATGGGGGTGGCACCAGAGGACAGGGTGGCACCAGGTGATGGGGGTGGCGCTGGATGATGGGGGTGGCACCAGAGGACAGGGTGGCACCAGGTGATGGGGGTGGCGCTGGATGATGGGGGTGGCACCAGAGGACAGGGTGGCACCAGGTTATGGCTGCACCCGCCTGGCTGTGGGTTCGGTCCCGCCTGAGCGTGGAGTCACACTGAGGTAGAGAGAATGCGCTGGGCTCTCAGTGGGCCTGAGCCTCGCCTGGGGCTTGGGCATTGGGACTCAGCTCCCAGTGACCTACACGCAGCCGAGGTCGCAGACCCCTGTCTCTGGGGCGTAAAGGAAGGCGACTTGGAGGCAAGCAAAGTGTGTCCAGCACCTGAGAAGAAATCATAGGAGGCATGGGGTCGGCAGTGGAGGGAGGTGCTGGTGCCGCTGACAGGAGGCAGCTAAGACACAAGGACATGAGAGAGCTGGCCTGGGGCCCGGAGGGGTGCTGGGGGGAGGGTGCTGGGGGAGGGTGCTGGGGGGAGGGTGCTGCGGGCAGGGGCGAGGCACTGGGCATGAGGGCCACACTCAGTGACGGGGCTGTGGAATCAGGGAGACGCTGACAGCTCATGAGGGGGTGAGGCTGAGAGAGAGAACCAATAGTCGTGTGATGGCTGCTGACCTCATGGTTTAATACAGAATACTGCACCTCCCTGCCCTCTGTGGGCTGAGCTGGGAGGCAGTTCCCCCGGGGCCCGGCTCTCATCTCCATGCTGATCTCTGGCAGCTGAGACTCGGGAAAGAGACGCGGGAAGCATTTGCTTCCGATGCTTTCCCGGCATCGCTCCGACCGTGTTCCCGGCGGGGCAGGCCTGCACTCTCACATGCGTCCCACTCTGTACTTTAGGGAGATCGCCCGGCGCAGGCCAAGGCAGATTAGCAAAGGGCTGGCCGTGGTCCTGCCCAATCGCAGGTGGCGGGAGGGGCTCTCGCTCAAAGGGCTGCGGTCTGTGACCTACAAATTCCACTCAGAGTCTCTCCTGAGAAAGAATTTAAAGTCACAGCAGCCTCACACACGCACCTCGCAGCACTATTTACGACGGTCAGAACAGAAATTAACCACAGTCTTATTCTCATGCTGCAGTCTTAAGTGAGGAAAACAGGATTCAAAAATGGAGGTTTGTCTAGAGACATGCATGCATGAAGAAGAGTGTGACTCGGTGACAAAGAAAAATGGGGGTGAAAAATATGTTAAGAAGCAAAGACTGGAAGGGAGTAACCCAAAATCTTCATAAAGGGCTGCCCAGGAGCCCTGACCAGAATGACTTTTTATTGTTTACTAGAGGCCTGGTGCACGAATTCGTGCACCACTGGGGTCCCTTGGCCTGGCCTGCGGGATCAGCCAAAACCAGCTCTCCGACATCCCCCGAGGGGTCCTGGATTGCGAGAGGGCGCAGGCCAGACCAAGGGACTCCACTGGTGCATGATCATGGCCAGGGAGGGATGTGGGAGGGCTCCCGGGCATGTCCAGCCTGTCTTGCTCAGTCCTAATCGGCTGGACCCCAGCAGCAAGCTAACCTACCTATCAGAGCGTCTGCCCCCTGGTGGTCAGTGCACGTCATAGTGAGTGGCTGAGCAACCTTAGCATATCATTAGCGTATTACACTTTGATTGGTTGAACAGCAGACCGGACAACCAGACACTTAGTATATTAGGTTTTTATTTTATAGGATTTTTTAAAAATATATTTGTATTGATTTCAGAGAGGAAGTGAAAGAGAGAGAGAGATAGAAACATCCAGCATGAGAGAAAATCATGGATTGGCTGCCTCTTGCATGCCCTCTACTGGGGATCGAGTGCACAACCCAGGCATATGCCCTGACCGGGAATTGTACTGTGACCTCCTGGTTCATAGGTCTGTGCTCAATCCACAGAACCAAACCAGCCAGGGTGACTGGGGTGGCTTTTTAAATCTTGTTCCATGTTTCCCAGTTCTCTGCCGGCAACAGGCATTGCTATGATGGTGGGGAACGCAGGGGGTCTTGAGCCTGCGGTTTGCGGGCGGCCACGCAACTGGGCCCTGAAGCC